GCTCCCCTGCTCTCCCTGGTGCTCCACCCATCCAGGGCAGCAGAGAGAGTGCAGAGATTGGGGAACAGGTCTTTCAGCATGCATTGCTGACAAGATGAGCAACAAGTAAAGGTTTCAAAGTGACTTGCTCAAACAGGTAAGAAATTGGTTAGGACCCTCTCATTTTCCTTCTTTCTAAATTGTGGCACAGGCCTCAGAAGGGTCTGCTTTCCTTTTCCTCCTCTTCCAAGTACAGAAAGAAGGGTGGAGCATTGGGCTCAGGACTGAAATAGCAGAGGATGTTGTAGGTCAAATTCAAGCTGTATCTGAATTGCTGAAAGAGGAAGTGGCAAAGCCAGCTGGAAGTCCTGTGATATGAAAGGCACTGTGTACAGTCTCTCTTTAGTTGTGCAAAGCAGGAAGCCATACCCAATGAACATATTAGCTAGGGACACACATAAATCTAGAACCCTTGGTTGAGAGATGATACTTTTTATTAGATCAACTAAGAAATCACAAAAAAAGGTCTTTTTCTGCAAGCTTTCAGGCTCACACACCCTTCATCAGCTCAGGGAAAATTAAAGATGGGGATTTTTTACTTTGGTTAGGGACAGACATTCAAAAAGCCAGAGCCTGAACTGATTCAATCTTTGCAGGTTAGTCTAACCTTTAGTTGTAAATAGATAAACATTCACTTTTGAATCAGGAAATGCAGGCACATGCCTGCAGTGGCTCAAGTTAGAAGCCGGGGGCGCTAGAGTAGCCCTCCCTTGCCTTCCATGGTGGTGAGCTGAGGAGGGGCGTAGCCAGGCCCCAGCAGGACGCTGTGATTCTACTTTCAAAAGCTGATGCTATACATCTCTGATTCAGTTAGTCTAGAAAGGTGCAAATCTACCCGGCCTTCTGCCTGACTCCAAACTAACACAGCTAATTAGCTGTCTCTCTATAGCAAAATGCATATAAAGCTACAGGAGCGTCCTTTGTTGAGGTTATACTGTTTGGAAATGCATATATTAGTGGCGGTCTTGCCAAAAGTGTCAACAAGCCCAGATCCTTACCCACCACCATTAGCAATGCTCCACCCAACTTAGACAAAGTCCCCTGCTGAGAGAGAGCAAAGTGAGTGTGTGTGTGTGTGTGCGCGCACGCACGCGTGCGTGCACGTGAGTGAGCAAGACTGGACAGACTGAAGGTAGAAATGCAGGAAAAAACATGGATTAACTTTATTACTGTTAATCAATGTCTGGCATTGTTGTTAAATAACTAGCGAACATCAGTCGACCAACACCATTAACTGCCAGCTCCAACAGCTACAAGAGCTGCTGCTAATACAAATCAGCAACTATTAAAATTTTCTGGCCAGTAAAATACACCTTGGCAGTCTCTGGCACAGCTTTCAGAAAAGCCAGTCACTGTCTTACTGTAGGCAAAGAAGCAAGTCAGGGACAGCAGGAAAAGCTGCTTTTTCCACTTCTGAATTTGGTGAATTGAGGGGTGAATACATTGCATGTAAGATTAAAAGAAAATTACTTTTTCTTCAGTGATGTCTGGAGCATGTACGATTACTCCCACACTTTGGTGTGTGGCCTAATATATTCAGAGCATGCATCTCCCAGTAAAAACATTCATCAGGCTATGTAGCTTTTCCAATTTTTAATGCCGCTCTAGTACACTCAGCAGCTGTGATTGAAGCACCATGGAGGCTCTAGCCAAATCAGGAAGCTGAGACAAGACTCAAACTTTATCACTTCATATAAATCTTCTGAATTAGTCTTCCCACTCAGGATAACCTCCCCATATGTAACAATTGTTTATATGATGGAAGCTTTATCATCAGCTATACTATCAAGGGAGCAGTACTGAGTCCTCAAAAGGTATATCATCAATTCTCATCTAGCTTCATGACATGAAAGTGCCATCCCAATCTGCTCCCATTTTCATGTATTTAAGGCATTATCAGCTAACAGAGGAGAATTTAAGCTCTTTAACACAGGATATTACTCATACAGCATCTGATTACAGAACAGCCAATGCTATGGGCACATTCAGGATCTTCTGCATCAGGTACAGCTTGAAGATTAACACTTTAAACAGGTCATTAAGCACCTTTCCCACCATGTATGAAATACCACAAGTGTGCCCAAGTCATTATCGTCTCCTATAATTAATACCTTACAAAGGCATGCAAGGAGCCTATGTTAAGGTGAGCTATAGCAAAGCTGTTGTTCATTATCTGACACCTGGAAATGCTGGTGGAAAAGCCCAGGGGAGAGAAACTGCAGCTTGATATTTTTAGTTTACAATGGATCATGTGCATTTGTGTGAACAATAATTCCTATATTATGATGAGCTACAAACCAACCTGTTTTTATTAGGGCCTTAGTCTTTATGTACAGCATAATATCCACTGAACAGTCTTATGTTTACCCTCAACATGAAAAACTGCTTCTCCATGTAGATGGTAATGACACCACTCACTCATTCTGATGACTTTAACTGTGCATGTACCCCAAGGAGCTAACCATTAATAAGAGCAGATCACATCTTTGCTTCTCAGAATTGGTAGCACAACTTTTGCTATACTCCTTCTCCCTCGCTAACTTCCTTCTAATTCCCTGCTTCTCTTGTTCAGACTGGGAGATAGTTTCAAGCACATGAAAGAAACACTTTATGCACAGCATCTGACACTGTTTAGCCACAGGTACCATTCACAGCTGCAAATATAATTTTTACAGAGTGGTGCTGAAACACTCCAAACAGAAAATCCTTCAAGTACTATCACAGCGCTGTGCCCATGGTGAGTGATGCCGCTCATAAGCTGCTTCAGAGACAATGTTCTACAAAGTTGACAGTAACAATAAAGCTTTGTATTTTCTATAGCACATCTAATCAGAAGGATCTGCCAGCTCTGTAGAAACATAAAGCCTTTGCAACATTCATGAGAAACAAAATTTGCATTATATGCATTTTACAGATGGGCACAATCAAACTAAGTCACTTGCCTGGGTCACATAGCAAATCAGCAGTAAGGTCAGTCTATACAGACCTATCAAGTCTTAAGTATACATCAAGCCCCCTTCCTTGACTAGGGGACCCCACTATTGTTAACACTCTGTTACACCATACTACTCATCTATCCAATGCCCTGAGCAATTCCTCTGTGATGACAAAATATCTCTAGAATAGAGACAATGCTGTTTCAGTTACCATACAAGAACAATACTGCAGATCCTACATAGGTTCACTGTGGTAGTTTATTTCATTTAAACTTCAGGTCAAAGTAATCTTGAAAAAGAAAAAAAAATCAAAATGGGACCATTTAAAAGGCCCCAGTATTGTTGCCAAACCAGACGGTAGCAAAAGTTGCATCATTATTGTAATATCTACCTGGGACTGGAGACAGAGTTTTAACAACTCAGGCCCCTTCAAAATAGAAATGTTACTATGGAGATACAAAAGGACATGGCACTGTGGCTATCTATTCACTGGACTGATTCTAGGTAAAGAACTGGGGTTTTGTGAGGTATGGAACAGAACTTTAGCTGCATGGGTTCTCACACAGAAAAGAAACAGACACACTTCACCTTTGACTTCTATGCTCCCCCACTTTGCTAGGGATGGCTTTACAGGACATTGCAGTGACTCTGACATCTGAGGTGTATTTAAACTGGATAGCACCGAGAGTCTCAACTCACTTGATCCTCTTTCTGTAGTCTTCTTATCAAAGATGTGCACTTCTTAGTGATGTGTTTGTCATTGTCAACATGTGGAACCATGGTAGGTTATTAGCTTTGCATCTGTCATGTTGTACAAACAGAATAATCAAACACTATTAATCTTTCATAAATGTAATTGTGCAATTCAGTACAAGGTTTTTCTTTCTGTCATATCTTACATAGGGTGTATTAACACTAAGGAGAGAGTGAAAGAGTGCAGGCCATTCTCCAGCACACTGTATTAGAATTAAATTGCGAATTTATTAAAACTGAGACCTGCTGTTTGGTAAAACATTTCTGACACACACCATATCCGGTAAGCAGTACAACATCACCTTGTTAAATATTTATCTGCTTTAAAAAGTGATTTACAGAGGCAGTTTCATCCCGATGCAATCCAAAATGGCCAAAAATAAGTGATAGCAGCTGAAACGCTGACAAGTTCTTAACTTTTGTGGCACTACTGGGGACCACTATAATATGGAACCATACTAATTAGATGTATAATAAAAATGTTCCACATGGCAATCTCACAGGTAAAATCATCTCATCTTTACTATACTCTGACTCCATAATTAATGACTTCATAGCAGTCATTAACACAATTGTTCAGTCTACTGTAGTCTCTTTACAACCTGTTTATAATTTACTATGCCATAAAAGAAGATGGCCACAGATTAGTCTCAGAGGCAAATTACAGAACTATTCAGTTACATTTTTACATCTTGGCTACAGTTAAATGAATCCTAGAAATATTATGGAAAGTAACAGGTTTAGGAGAACCAATCTCATCAACCCATCTAATTTCCTGTATAAAAATTAAATATAATTGCAAATTGTAGGGCAGTCTGTTCAATGGAAGAGAAGCCATGTGGACTTTTTATTCCATGAATAGGAACAAATGGCGAATACCAAAATAGCACAAACGATATACAAAGTTATTTGATTTAAAAGGCTAGGATTTAGCTACTTAACCGCTTATGCTAAATTTCTGCTGCCATTAAGTATTCAGGTTTTTATATTATATAATTTGAGGTGGTGGTAGATGCTAAGCATTCAGTGTTTTCACAATAGCAGAAAGGGTGAAGGCACTGAACCTTGCAAAGATGTAATGAAATAAAAGTTTGCCTTTTCACACACTTCTACATTTCAAGAATTAGCTTCTAAAATCCAACCGACAAAAGTTTCAGGCAATGAATAGTTTATATTATATTTAAAAATTATTTTTAAAAGGATACAGCAATTTCCCTCAATATTCATGTCTGGTACAGCTTTTGTTTGAAGTCAACTAGTTGCTTAACAACCAGTTACCTTTGGGACCAACCCTTCACTTTCAACTACATTTATGAAGTGCCATAAACAACAGGGCCCCAATACAAAAACCCACACACACTTATAGGCTTGGCACTGTTACGCTTGCCAGTACCACAACCAAAAGAGCTGTGGGGGTCATGACTGACCACAAAATGAACATGAGCCACCAATGTGACACCACAACCAGCAAAGCAAACAAAACTCTGGCTTGCATCTACTGATGCATCTCAAGCAAGACCCAGGAAGTCATCCTCCCACTTTACTTGGCCTTGGTGAGACCACAGCTGGAATACTGTATCCAGTTCTGGGCTCCACAATTCAGAAAGGATGTGGAGAAGCTTGAAAGAGTCCAGAGGAGAGCCACATGAATGATTAGAGGACAAGAGAGCAGGCCTTATGAAGAGAGGCTGAGAAATATGGGACTCTTCAGCCTGGAAAAGCGCAGGCTCAGAGGTGACTTGGTGGCAATCTTTAAGTACATAAGGGGTGTGCACCAGGAACTGGGAGAACACCTGTTCACCAGCGCACCCCATGAGAAGACAAGGTCCAATGGTTACAAACTCCTGGAAGACTGTTTTAGGCTGGACATAAGGAAAAACTTTCCTGTCCAAGTCCCCAGGGCCTGGCATAGACTCCCCCAGAGGTGGTACAAGCACCTGTTCTGGATATTTTCAAAAAACACTTGGATGCTTAGCTTTCTATTATCATTTGACCCCTGCTGGCTTCCTGCCCTTTGGCCAGGGAGCTGGACCTGATGATCTTGTGAGGTCCCTTCCAGCCCTAGTACCTATGAAATTATGAAATATCTGTTCGGTCCTGATAGCATTACAGAAATAGTTCAGGGAAAATATTCCAAAGAACCACACAAGAAGGCGGCACCCAACTCATTAACCTGCAATATAATTCAGGCACCTAAAGCCCTTAAGCACTTTTGAAAATCCCATCATAAACATATAATCCCAATATGCAATGTTATTCATATAAATTATTTCCCAACATAAAAAACGGGATCTTGCTTCTACATTTTTACACTTTCCCAATGCTTAATAATCACTTCACAATACCAGATGTTTCCATTTATTTTTAGCTTTTAAAAACAATAAACCAGCTAACAATGGAGGAAATGAATTTGTTATCAATGGGAAAAAACAGTTTTTTCTCCAAAAAGAAATAAAAATTCTGCACTGGTCCAGTCCTGCACAGAGCAAACCAGGAAAGCCAAGGCTGCAACTGAAC